TATATATATATATGGTGTGTGTTGTTCATGGGGAAATTCTAAAGACATATATACATATATACCAAGGCAACAGTATTTTGTCATGAGTATTTTCTATTTTTCAACAAAGATTATGAATTATCCACATGACCTGTAATCCCTCCCCATGAAAGAAAAACCCTACTCCCAGGATGGACCTTGGCAAAATCTGATGTACTAAGCCCACCAATCCTATGTAAACTTCAACAAGGACTTTAGCAGTCAAAGATGTTCAGCCCTTGAAAGTGTCAGAACACAAATGTTAAGGAGAAGGGGCTTAATTATTTCTGAAAGTATGCTTCATCCAGGAAGTCCCAGGAAAGGGCCATGGCATGAGAATTGGGTTGTGAGATGAGCTGGGGCTCTGGGTATGGGCAGGCATGTCTCAGTGCAGAAGGCCCTGGCTGATGCTTGCTTCCTTTCTTACAGATCTTGTTGCTGGGACTCAAGGTAAGTCCTCTTTTTATACCTCCTCAGTCTCCTCTGGGTCACCACCTCTTCACTCAATGGTCTGTCTGTCTGGAGCTGCTCTGAATGTATTAGCAACCAAACTCAGTATCAGGTCAGGACCAGGAAAGGACCATTGTTCCCAGAAGATACCCTGCCATTCTTCTTTCCTCTGTCTGGGGAGGAAGATGGTCAGAAGCCATGCCTAGCTAGTATAGTAACTCTTCTAGTTCTTTTAGAGTGAGATGTGACCAGTTATCACAAACTGTCCTTGTTCTCAACTGCTTTTCACTCTCCAAGTAAAATTGAGAGCTCTTAATAGGTTGATCTCAAAGAAGCTGAGAGTGAAAGCCAGAGCCTGGGACGGTGGAGGAGGGATAGGGATGAAGATGGTGGAGGAGGGGTAGGAATGAAGACGGTGGAGGAGGGGTAGGGATGAAGACAGAGTGGTTAATGGCACAGAGGCAGACTTAGATATGAGGTGTAAGTTCTAATGCACTGTAGCAAGAAGGGTGTCTTAGTTGGGGTGTCTGTTTCTGTGTGGAGGCCCCATGATCACAGCAACATTTCATAGGGGGGTTGCTTACAGTTTCAGAGGTTCAGTCCATTATCATCATGGCAGGAAGCATGTCAGCCTGCAGGCAGATGTGGTACTGGAGTAGCTGAGAGTTCTATAACTCGATCTGCAGGCAGCAGGAAAAGAGAGTGACACTAGGCCTGGCTTGAGCATCTGAAACTTCAAAGCCCAACCCAGTGACCCACTTCCTCCAAAAAGGCCACACCTACTCCAGCAAGGTCACACCTCTTAGTAGTGCCACTCCCTGAGTCAGTTGGGGCCATTCACTCAAACCATCACAAAGACCGTTTTCCAAATGAGATTCCCTCCTTTCAGATGACTCTGATTTGTGTGTCGAGTTGACATAAGACTGGCCAGGACAGAACTCCATGCCCTGTTCTCCTGATGTAGAGATCCATCTCCATGCAAGTGGGGTAGGGGACAAGTGGCAGGAGGGAGGGAGAAGAGAAATGTAAATAAATCTTAGTGAGAGATACTTCTGGGATGTCTCCTTTGCCCCTCCCATCTTCTCTCTTGCTTTACCCTGCTGAGGATCAATTGCATTCCCTGTGAGTTCCCTGGGACTCACTGGATGGAATAAGTAGAAGAATTCAATGGAAGACGCTTCCTGGGTCTGATGTCCGCCCCCCCACCCCGTCCGTCCGTTCCCCCCCTCCCACGTGCCCTCAGTAGGAATGCTGGTGCCTTTTCAGCTGAAACTCAGGGCCTGCTTAGGCTCGTGGGTCTTCCGTGCCTCATACTGCCTGCTCTCTCCAAAACTCAGCAGATCTTCCAAAGTCTGTGGTGAAACTTGAGCCCCCATGGATCCAGGTGCTCAAGGAAGACCTTGTGACACTGACGTGCGAAGGGACCCACAACCCTGGGAACTCTTCTACCCAGTGGTTCCACAACGGGAGCCTCATCTGGAGTCAGGTCCAAGCCAGCTACAAGTTTAAGGCCACATTCAATGACAGTGGAGAATATCGGTGCCAAACGGAGCAGACGGGCCTCAGCGACCCTGTACATCTGGGAGTGATCTCTGGTTAGTCAAGGCTGGCCCGGGGAGGAGCTGGGATACCAAGAAGTTGGGAGGTGGAGTGGAGTGGATCTGCTTACTGCAAAGTTTGCAGGAAAAGGGGCGGACTGGTTTCTGGGAAGCATCACAGAGAGCTGCTTGAAGGGCTTTTTGTCCACTCGTTTCCTCTTCTGCCAGCCCTTGTGTTTAGCGTGCATGTGGAGGGCATGCAAATTCCTGAGAAATCCGTGTGAACAGTAGTTTGTTGTGGTAGTCCTGATTGAGCAAGAGAGTTCAAGGACACAGGGAGCTGAATATGACAGAAAAGGGAAGTCTCTATTTCATAGAAACCCTTCTATTTCATGACACCCAGAAAAATGCCAGTAGTCCACAACTGAATCCAAGCCCAGGGAAAAGCTGTCTATACAAATCTGACTGATGTATTTAACCTTGAGTTTGGCGTTCTTATCTGCTCAGCTGAGGGTGCTGAGGCCTCTCCCCTGGAGGTTCTGGGGAGCACGGACATTTTCTTACCTCTCGCCCTTGCAGTTCCAGTGGGTTCTTGACTCGTTTTCTTCCAACAGCTTGTGGGCACTTGACATGAAAAGCTATGTCTCGTCAACCTTCATATTTGCAGTATCCGAAACAGGACAGGGCTTATTAAATCTATGCTGAGCAGATCAATGACTTTTACAAGGCTCCTGGCAAAAAAGTAGGTTTCCCCTCCAGAAGAACAACCAAGTGACCACGTCAGCATTTGCTACCTCATTCTTTACTTAGTTCCCTCCTATCACCCAGTCTCAGATTTCCTCAATATTATGCCCACAGCGAGCTAATGATTTGCCCCACACCCTGCTGGACTGTGGTTCCACATTTATTACTATTCATTAGAGAAACTGACATTTTTGGAGGCTCAAGATGATCTACCATCTTTCAAACAGAAGACTCTATTATATCTGCTTCATACTTGTCTCCTCAGGTACACTGAATTCTGTCATCTTTCCTGCCAGGGAGGGAAGGATTACATCCCCATTTCTTTTGTTCACCCTTTTCTCAAGAAGGGAAGGGGAACATGCATTTATCTTGGATACCCTTTGTGCATCATGAACTGCTTACTGTAGCTGCAAAATCTAACCATACCCATTTCACAGATGAGGAAAGCGAGGCCCAGAGGCCTTAACTTTCTTGGCCAAGATTGGAGAGTTCCCAAATGAGTGGAACATCAAGACTGCCTGATGTCAAACTAAAGTTCTCTCCCTTCATATATCATATCCCACTTGGAAGAGTGACCTGGCCCTCCTAGTGCTATGGTCTTTTTGTGTCTTTCAGACTGGCTGCTGCTCCAGACCCCTCAGCTGGTGTTTCTGGAAGGGGAACCCATCATGCTGAGGTGCCACAGCTGGAAGAACATACAGCTCAACAGGATCTTGTTCTTCCAGAATGAAAAGCCTGTGAGGTTTTATCATCATGGTACTAACTTCTCTATCCCAAAAGCCAACCACAGTCACACTGGGGACTACTACTGCCAAGGAAGTCTAGGAAAGGTCCGGCACTCCTCCAAGCCGGTCACCATCACTGTCCAAGGTATGTGGACTCTGTCAAGACGTTGGAAAAGGAGAAGAGGAGATAAACAGAGGCTAAAGTTATATAGCTCCACATGGAGATCTAGGAGTGCCATAGCAGCAACGCTGGGCTTGGAGGCAAAGAGGAGAGCTGTGAGTGATGGCCGAGTGATGGCCGAGTGATGGCTGAGTGGTGGCCGAGTTCCTCACTTGCAGGTGGTGGGTGACAAGACTTTTGGGAAGCGGAGCCTTGTTGTTGGTACATAGGTTCTTTAAGCTCCTAGACACTCTTAAGAGCTGAAGTTTAACTTCTTGTCTCTCATGTAACACCTATTCATTCTGGAAGGCATATCATGTTCTAGACAGTGGTGATACCACCAACCCCGTGAGGCTTCAGATCCATCCTCCCCACTAACTCTGAGGGCTGTCCCTTCTGTTACCACACTGTTGCCAGTGTACCTTCATTAGTTTGGTGGAAACACTTGGTTCGTGGGGAGGCACAAGTCTGTTCACTAAACCTATGCTTATAAGGTTTCAGGGAAATGTCTTACACTTATGAGTGACCAGACACAGCAACTGGGCGTGGCATTGGAGGAGGGATGGATTCACAGAGAATTCAGTACTTAATACCTGTCATCATATCTGTCTTCTCCAGACCCCAAGTCCAGCAGGCCTTTGCCGATATTGACAATTGTAGCTGCTGTCACTGGAATTGCTGTAGCAGCCATTGTTATTATCCTGGTATCCTTGATCTATCTCAAGAAAAAGCAGGTTCCAGGTTGGTGGCTCTCTTTGGTCCCTCTTATTGTCAGTTCCTACTTAGCTGGGGCAGCTAGGCGTTAGAGACTTATTTGCTTTTGATATTGCCCCACCCTATTCACTCACCTACTTACAAATTCATCTGTTAAGCAAGACTTGAACAAACTCAATGATGTGCCATGAACTGTGCTAGACACTGTAGGCACTGGGTTCCATTTCTACCCCAGCTAGCTCTGAGCATTGTGGGGAATAGCAGATGTACCAGTGGATACTCATAAGAAGGGATTTGAGCAATGTTAAAGACATGGTTGTGACCTGAGGGTCAGAGCACATTCCTGTCATCCCAGGACAGTAAGACAGAAGAACTAAACTCTGAAGCCATGGTCGGTGAGGCGATCCAGCCGGTGCAAATGCTTGAAGTTCAAGCCCTGTGATCTTAGTTCAATCTCTGGTATCCAAGTTAAGGTGGAGAGAGGGAACTGATCCTACAAAGGTGTCCTCTGACCTTCGTAGATGGGCTATGGTATTTGAAACCAGCCTGTGCCACACAGCAAGACTGTATCTAAAGTATAAAAAAGAGAGGCAACTCTGTAACTTCCTCCCAGTTATTCCACCTTGACAAGCACTTAACACATGAGATGTTAATGGACATCTCAGATCTAAACGGTGGCAGTCAGCCTGGCTAGGACAGTTAGAGAAGGTTTCACTGGGGAGCCAGTATGATGTTGTGATTGAAATACACACGGGGGACCAGATTGCTGTGGTCCAAATCTCAGCTCATCTATAATGTCAACCTGTGGGCCTCAGTTTCCTGGTCTGGAAAATGAAGATCACTATGGGCCCCACCTTACAGGAATATCAGGACAATGAATAAGGCCAAAGCCTTTGTACTAGAGCCTCAAAGACGGCAAAGGACACATACAAAGGGGTTGGAGCAATGACTCAGCTGTTAAGAACACTGACTGTTCCTCCAAAGGAACCAGGTTCAGTTCCCAGTACCCACGTGGCAGGTGGTAACTGTCTGTAGCTCTGGCTCTAAGGGATCTGACAACCTTGCATAGACATACATGCAGGAAAAACACAGATTCCCATAAAATGAAAATGAATTATTAAAAAAGGAATACGTAAGTATAAGCTGTTACTACTGTGGAGAGAAGGGTGATGTCCCTGGGGTAGGCATCAGCTGGGCAAAGTAGAAGAGCATTCTAGAAGCTGTGGCCAAAGTGTGAAAATGAGGAATGTTGTAGGCAGGTCAAAGGAAGCCACTGAGAAAGGGAAAATACTTCTACTAACTAATCCCTAATACCTCAAACACACTTCACATTGGTTCATAGGGATTCAGTTATGGATGTTAAGTAAATATTAAAATATACAGAGAGAAAAATTACACTGTTTTCGTTGAGGCAGGGTCTCACTTTGTAGCCCTAACTGGTCTGGAGTTCACTGTATAGACCAGGCTATCCTCAAACTCAGAGATCTTCTTGCCTTTGTCTCCTGAGTGCTGGGATTAAAGGTGTGCTCCATCACACCAGCCAAAAGATAACACCTTTAAAGGGCTGGAGAAACCCAGGAAGAATGCAGTGGAGAGTTTTATGCCACACTCCCTGGTGTCCTCTTTGGTTAGTCACTGTGGGGAAAAGAAATGATGCCAGCGTGAGGGAAGGTCTTTGTTCCTTTTAACTCTGTTCTGACCCTGGCCCTTGATCCTGATGTCTCAGGACTCACCCCGTAATCCTACTAACTTCCTGCGTGCCCCTCCTAGCTCTCCCAGGAAACCCTGATCACAGGGAAAAGGGAGAAACCTTTCCTGAGGAACCAGGTGAGTACACGGTGCCCTCTGGGGGCTCAGCGCCTGTCAGCCCAGGGCCTCCATCAGGACTGGAGCCAACAAGCAGCAGGTCATGTAAGTTCAGTGGGAGTGCAGGAGAGGGGCGAGCTGTGGGAGACAGCTGGGACTCAAATCTCTTGGTCAGTTCTGAGTCTAACCCTTGGACCTAAGGAGGGTCTCACTAGAGATGAGAAGAGGAGTGTTGATTTCAGAGAGAAGAGGGTGGGCGGTGACTAAACTAGTCAAACAAGGAATCTGGACACATTTCCAGTTCTGGACAGCAAAGGGATTTGCATCTTTTGGGGGAGATGAGGCACAGTTCCAAAGGATAGGGTTAGCAGTTGTATGACAGAAGTCAATAGGATTAAAGGGGCAGGGGAGCCTAAGACCAAAAGAGGTCCGAGGTAACCCTAGAGATCTTTTCAGGAATGTATCTCTGTGTATGTAGAGGCAGGCAGGCATAGCACAGCCCAACCTTTAGTAACAGAATGAGAGATTTGAGTTGAGGAAATTCTAGGGGATTACAGCTACTCCTAGGATATACTCTGAGGGCACACTGTGGCTCTAATGCCCACTCAGGATAATAAAATATTGGCCTGACCCTTCCACCATGATATAAGTACATCTAGAGTAGGTCACTCCCCATATTGGGGAAGGAATAAGTGTGTGGATGAGTGGTTTAGATGACCTCTGAACCCTTTTAAATAGTTCTGAGATTTGAAAGCCAGTGACCTTTCGACCCTGGTACAGGAGGAAGGATGTAGGAGTGGGAGTTGCCTGAGGCAGTTGCCTCATTGTAGTTAAAGACAGAGCATAAAGGTGATTGGAGTTCTCTCGAGGCTTCCATGACAGCAGAAATAGGCAGGAGAAAGAGTTCCGCGTGGATTCCACTTCAGGGAGCTGGGGTGTGACTCAGAGCTGAGCCAACAGGTATGAGAGCTTGAGCGAAATAGCATTCAGTTAGCTTGGCTTTGAACAAGGTCTGCGTTCTTCAGCCAGGCCCTGTGGCTCCGTGTCTAGGATCAAACTAGATCGACCAAAAAGATGTCTAGTCAGCTGGACTCCCTTTCTTGTCTGGCTTTGTCTACTCTGGTATACACACATTGACAGGGTGTTTGTTCAGCCTGGCACCGGGTTTCCCCTAAAGGAGTAGTAGTTAGCTGCTGGGATTGCTAAGAAGTGTATAAACTAAGAAGTATATAAAAGGAGGGCATTCTGAGTGCGTTTGTAGGGCAGAGTTTGGAACACGGAAAATAAGGCCTTGTGCTTGGGGAGCGGTGAAGAGACTGGAGACATTGTCTCAACCTCTTCCTTGTCTTCCCAAAATGGTGGTTTATAGACACTGGGGTTGCTTTTCTTACTGACAAAGGAAACTGTGGGCAAATATATAAGAGAATGTGGTGTTTGGGATATTAGAGTCTTTTTCTTCTCTCTCTCTTTCCCATCCTCCCTTTCTCTCCTCTCTCCTCTTCCTTTCTCCCTTTCCTCTTTCTTTTTCTTCTTTTTTTAATGTCATAGCATAGCTGGTTCTCCAGTGCTTTAGCAAGAATAAACTATACTTGTCCAGTGTGGAAACAGCTGTTTGTTTCTCTCCCTCTGAGAAGGCAAACATCTGGGCTTGATTTCACTCTGATCCAAACCCTTCCACCGTTCCCCAACCTCTCAGAGCCTCGAAGCTGCTTAGTCTGCCTCTAGGAAAGCTGAGCGACTTTCTGACAAGAATGTGGCATGTGGTTGTGTTTGTTTCCCTTTGCCAGCATTGCCAGCAGGGAAGGCTGGATTCCAAGATGGTGAGGGAAGGAGGCAGCGCTGCTTGGCCTGGGAGCCTGGGTTGGGGTGGGCAAGCCTTGTCTTTGCTCTGAGCGTTGGTTTTGCAGCCTCAATAGCAGCACAGCAGGCCCTCTTTCCAGCAGTGCCCAAGCTGACCGCTTATTTTCATCCACAGACAATCCTTCTGATCTCGAAGAAGCTGCCAAGACTGAGGTGAGTGAGCCCAGCCCTGTCCTGTCCCTGTCCCCATCCATCTGCCCACCATGACCTCTCCGCAGCTCTCATAGCCCATTTCTGCTTTCTCTAGGTTGAGAATACGATCACCTATTCACTTCTCAAGCATCCCGAAGCTCCGGACGAAGAAGCCGAGCCTGATTACCAGAACCACATTTAGTTTCCCTTGTGACTGGGAAAAGCAAACCAGAAAGGCCAGGATCTAGTGTCTCCTGGTCCAAGGGATGCTGTAGATATTAAAGAAAACATCCAGAGTCACTTATGTGAGTCCTGAAACCAACAGACACTACGATATTGGTTCCCAATGGTTGACTGTACTAATGACTTTCATAACTTACAGCTTCTCAACTCAAGACTCTCCTGCCATAGATCCACACATCCAATAAAATTAATCAACTTACTGTTGTTAAGAGACTGCAGCAACATGGGAACTGCTTATATTACATGCTAATGAGAACAATTAATGTTAGGATGCATAATCTCAGCAATGATAAACTGGACTTGTACCAACCTGTCAAATGTGATGCTTCTTTATAAGGAACTTCAATTTTTTAAATTTTTCTATAAAGCTCACATGTTACTTTTATAGTAAAATGTTGTAAGAACATCTTTCTATTTACTTTTTCAAGCTGCAATGATTGCAGTATAGACTGAGCTCTCTGGGGTTTGTTCGTCTTCTGCAAGAAGAATCTTGGGGAGATGGTTTAACTTTTCCCTGGGGAGACATAAGAATCGTGGCCCTCATGACAGACCAAAGTCATATGATTATACTCAAGACTAGTCTGGTGCACCAGTGAGTTTCTTCGGCTTATTTATAGAAACATGAGTTTGGGATTCCTTACAAGGGTGTGGAGGACATTGAAACAGCAGTCTTAGCACCGACGACAGTGTCTTTACAGTTACATAGATGGTGTTCCACCCCCTCTTTAGTTAGTCTTCCTCAAACTCCCAGTTCAGAAGCCTCTGTCTTTAGGCCTCCATGATGATGAGCCTTCAGACCTCCATGATGGTGAGCCTTTAGACCTCCATGATGGTGAGCCTTTAGGCCTCCATGATGGTGAGCCTTTAGGCCTCCATGATGGTGAGCCTTTAGGCCTCCATGATGGTGAGCCTTTAGACCTCCATGATGAGCCTTTAGGCCTCCATGATGATGAGTGTTTAGATCTCCATGATGATGAGCCTTTAGGCCTCCATGATGGTGAGCCTTTAGGCCTCCATGATGGTGAGTCTTTAGACCTCCATGATGATGAGTGTTTAGATCTCCATGATGATGAGCCTTTAGGCCTCCATGATGATGAACATGCACTACTATCCACCACCACACCTGGCCTGGTAGAAGTAGATAGGAGGTAGAGGAGAAGGCAGATGAGGGTTTGGAGTAGAGAGCCAGTGCCCTTCCCCTTCAAACTGATGATACTTCCAGTAAACTTGTCTTCTTGTTTCCACATTTCCTACTTCTCTTTTCCCCTATGACAAGCAGAATAATCACTTTGTTATGTAACAGGAGTTCGCAGGAAGTCAAACTTTGGATGAATGCCAGGGGTAGCTGAAGGATGACCTCGAACTCCTGATCTTCCTGCTTCTACCTCCTAATTGCTGAGATTAAAAGTCGGATCCTATTATATTTATATGTTCACAAAAATCACTCAGGCAGCTGTAACCACATAAGTTCAAAGTGTAGACATATAAAGGAGACAAAAGGAGAAATGCTCTGTTGTCCTCATTTTCCTTGATTCTGTGCTCTCTCTCTCTCGCTCTCTCTCAGTCTCTCTCTCTCTCTCTCTCTCTCTCTCTCTCTCTTTCTCCCTCTCTCTCTCTCTCAAATGAATAAACACTGTTGTAGGTGTTATATACATTCAGATTTCTTAATATATATTTGATATTGTTTTTAGGATGCTTATACATGAGACCATACATGTGATTATGTTGTAGAATTACTTTGGCTGGACCTTTCTGGATATCTGCCTAGCTTCAGGTTCATTGAAAGACACTATCTCAAAGGATTAAGCAGAGAGAGCTTGAGCAGGATACCAGATGTTTTCCTTTGACCCCTGCACAGCAGCACATAGGCACTCTACACATGTGTGCCTATAACACACACAAATAAAATAAATAATAATAATTTTAAAAACTCATTCCAGAATTTCTGCTTTGAACTCACTGATATCCAAGACATGGTTGCATGGAAACATTCTTGCATGGATCTTAGTTGTCCAATCCAAACACAGAGAACTAATAAGGCTATTTGACGTTAGGGAGATCACATCCGGAAACCCTTGCATTCCTAATATGCACCTTTAAGTGTGCCTCATGGAATCTAGCCAGTTCTTTCTCATATCCTCTTTACCAAGACCCCTCCTGACCACTACTCTTTGTTTTTATTTTCTCCATGGTACAGTGTAGATTATTACATATCTTCTTCTTTTATATAGTCTCATATATACTAAAATGTAAGCTCAAAACAGTCCCATGTTTTCCTTTTTCACTAATGTATTCCAGAGATCAGAACAATGCAATAGATTGTTGAATGAATTAATGAATAAAACTTGCCTCTCATAGTTTCTGAGTTATTTGATATTCTTGCATGCTGGTCAAGTGCTCTACCACCAAGCTACCTGGTGTTATTTGATGTTCTTACTACTGTGGCTTGGATTTGTCCCCCTGAAATCACATATTGGAAACAGTCACCAATGCAACAGAGGTGGGAGGTGGGGTCTGATAGGAAGTGACTAGCCCACAGGCAGGGAGTTAGTTCTGTGGGGATGGCTCCTTCTAAAAGGGTGAGTTTGCTATCATTTGGCTCTGTCTTCCCTTCCTGTTCCACTCTCCCGCTTCCTAACTCATGGAACGACACAGCAAGAAAATCTTTACCAGGTTCTGGTCCCTCAGTCTTGAACTTCTCAGCCTCCAGAACATATTAATAAAGAATCACCCCAAGTCCGTGGGGGTTTTGTCATCACAACCTGGAGAAGGCTTTCTGAATCTCAAGAGTTCAATAAAAATCTATCTTCCCTTGAAACCTTTCCAAATTTATCTAAAATTCTTAAGTGCTTTGGAAAAGATTTGAAGTCAAATAGATTTGGGAGTCCTTTTTGAATCTGGTGTAAGGTAAGCACCTAACTTAATCTTTCCCTGTCCTGAGGCGAGGTATACCTGTGTCATTCCTTGAGTAAATGACTGGAAATGGTCCTAATATCATTATCAACTCCTACCCACAGGTCACATCCATGTCCAGTCCTCGTCGGTTGCCTCGTTTTATCTGTTTTTTTTTTCCTGCCTCAGTAGCATATACTTTTATTATTATTATTATTATTATTATTCATAAGGTATTTTGATATGTAGAAATCTCTGTTTTCTCTCATTCACTTGTTTCAAGATTTTCTTGGCTGTCATTATGTTTCTCTTCTAGATGGACTTGAGAATTCCATAAACTATAGGGTACTGGGAGAGTTACATTGTCTATGTAAATTGCCTGGGTAAGGTTTGGTGTCTGTGTTATGCTGAGACCTCCCAAGTTATAGCTTCTTGCTTGTTTAGACAATAGACTTCTCTTATAACAGGACCTTTTAAAAATAGAATGTATTTATTTTTATTTTATGTGCATTTGTGTTTTGTCTTCATGTGCGTCTGTGTGAGGGTGTTGTATCCATGAAGTTACAGAGAATTGTGAGCTGCCATATGGGTGCTGGAAGTTGAACCTGGGCCCTTTGGAAGAGCAGCCAGTGCTCTTAACCGATGAGGCATCTCTCCAGCCCCGACACGGCCTCTTTTTGTCTGAGAGCTTAAACTGCCTTTTCCCCAACTTCATATCACTATTACTCTGATTAGAATTTTCTATACTTTTTGAAGACAATTTTGAAAAGGTGCATTTTTTTTCCTGGAAAATCACACATTTTATTAATTGGCATGCAGCCAGATGCTGCTTCCTCTCCAGATGCTGCTTCCTCTCTCTCTCTTTCTTTCTTTCTCTCTTTCTTTCTTTGTCAGGATCTCAGGTAGCTAAGGCTGACCTCACAATCCCTACATATAGCTGAGGATAGTCTTGCTCTTCCCATCCCCACCTCCTAAATGCTGGAATTAAAGGAGTGTACCAATTCCCAATTTGTGTGGTCCTTCAGCTCATACTCAGAGTTTCCTGCAAACAAATAGGTTTTTTTAATTTATTTTTTGACAATTTGTATGTTTATATTTATTCATGGACTCCTCCCCCATTCTTAGCTTTTTGGGTTGTCTTTTATCAGGATGACTTGGTTGGGAATAACAGGAAATTGTGATTAAAATTGGTTTAAACAATAAGGAAATCTATTATCTCCCATAGCAGAAAGTCCAGAGACAGAGAGTCTCCTTCCATCAGAATTCTGAGCCCCTCCCCCCTTTTTTTTCTGCAATACTCTGGCTACTGCCCTTGGGCTAGCAAGAACACATAGCAATTCTACATGTCATATCCTGGTATCTAGAAAAAGGAGGGGACTAATTATTTTCTGATACGTCTTTTGAAAGCAAGGACACTACTCTCAGAAGCCTTTGGTGATGTTCTTGTCATAGTGTATTAATCAGGATAGACCATTCTTAAAGCACTCATTTAAAAGAAGACGGAGGTGACCATCACATACTTAATCTTTTCAAAGAAGAGTGACTGTTGAGACCAAAACCCCTGACCGCTGTGTCTTTGTCCCTCCTAGATGTCTCACTAAAAGTTTACCTGGTTGATTTGTTTTGCTTTCTTTTTTTCTGTCTTGTGATAACTTTGGTTTATTAATCAAGTACTTTGCCTTTTGCTTGGTTTCAAGCAAGATATTTTCTACCTTATTTAGATTTATATGTTATATTACTTATTTCTAAATTTCTTGTTTTCAAACAAATTAATAAAAGGCTGTAACTTCTCCTTTACTGATATTTTGGCCATAAGCATTTGACTAAATTTGCATGTCTGAAAATGTTCTTTCTGAATAATTTATCATTTTAGCTTTATTTTCTTCCTTTTTAAGGCTTGCTTTGCTTATTTATTTATTTGTTTATTTATTTATTTATTTATTTAGTTAGTTTTGTCACCTTGACACAAGCCAGGGTCATCTGAAAAGAGGGAGCTGAAGAAATGCTTCCATCAGCTTGCCTGATGGCATTTTCTTGATGAGTGATTGGTATGAGCTGGCCCAGCACACTATGGGCGATGCCACCACTAGGCAGGTGGTCCTGGCTGTTTAAAGAAGCATGCTGAGCAAGGCAAGGGGAGCAAACAGTAAAAAGCACTCCTCCAAGGCTTCTGCTTCAGTGCCTGCCTTGAGTTTCTGCCCTGACTTCTGTTCATGTAATGAAGGGATTGTAAGCTGTAATGACCCTTTTCCTTTCCAAGTTGTGTTTAGTTATGGTATTTTAGGACAGCAAAGAAATCAAGACTGCGTGTGTGTGTGTGTGTGTGTGTGTGTGTGTGTACATATGTTGTACCCACAGAGCCTGAAGCTGGAGTTACATGAGATTGTGAGTTGTCCTGTGAGCACTGGGGATTGAACCCAGGCTCTCTGAAAGAGCAGCAAGTGTTCATCTCCAGCTCTTTTATTTTCTTCTTAACCATAGCTTTATTTATAAGCATTAGTTGTGTCTGGTTTGAGAACTATTTTTTTGATTGCCTGCTTTTATTACACAATAGCCAGGAAACATAGCCTGTCTGGTTTTTCTGCATGAATATCTGTAAGTACATGAGTGAAGATGACAAGGCTGATATTTGAGAAATACATGACATTTTGCAGTACTCCCACCTAATTTGAGTTGCACCACAATGCAGGCAGATCACAAGACACTTCTGACTTCCTTCTTTCCCCACATCCCCTCAGTCCTGAACCTCATGTGGAATCCTCTTCAACTCCTTCAACTGTGTCTTCTGAGAATTTGACTTCCATATTTCCAAGCAATATACTGTTGTGTTTTTTTCAATATTAATCTAACCCATTTGGTTTCCTGCTGCCGAGCTTGGGGGCTGATCTTGTTCTATTGTGCTTATTGGCTTCCCGTTTTCCTATCAGATGCTTTCATGTAGCCTGTCACAGTTTGATGATCACTGTCTATTCTAGAGACACTTGTCTGATTACATTTCCTTTCTTGAACAATCTTCTTCCCTCCAGAGATAGCCAAGGCTTGTTTTTTTTTTTTTTGTTTTTTGTTTTGTTTTGTTTTTGCTTGTTTGTTTGTTTTTCGAGACAGGGTTTCTCTGTGTAGCCCTGGCTGTCCTGGAACTCACTCTGTAGACCAGGCTAGCCTTGAACTCAGAAATCTACCTGCCTCTGCCTCCCAAGTGCTGGGATTAAAGGCGTGCACCACCACTGCCTGGCTTTTTTTTTTTTTTCTTTTTTTTTGGTCATTTGTTTTTAGTTGAATGTGTGTCTACTATTAGCTTTTTCCTAATGCTGGATAAGGAATACTGCAGAGAAACTTAATATTGTTTTGCATATGGTAAAATGCAGGGAGTACTTCATTGTTTCTTTTTCTTCAACACGATGTTTCTCCTCAATACTAACTTGGATGTTTCACTTCTAGGGCTGTTGCTCAGCTGTGCTCCCGGATCCAAAGTTTTCCTGAAGAGCAGCCAATATTCTTAACTGTTGAACTATTTCTCCAATCCCCCCCCAAATTATCTTAAAGAATATAACTCTATTTGGTTATCTTGTTTCAGAATTTGTTGGCTCGGCAATAATGCCATAGCTGGTATCTCTGTGTTAGCATGTAACATGGTAACATGTAGAGTAAGTGCTTGTAAAATTGCTCTGTCGAATCAGAAGAATATCACAGGTGGTGTCATTTCCTTGGCTATGTGTCTTGGAGAGAGGAAGCCTAGTGATTCTATTGCTGGTGGTGGAAGTTGGGAAAGAAACCTCTACCTATTTGTTTCTAGGTTCTTATTACCACTGGGGAAAGAATCCATAGACAGGACAAAGTAAGGAACTGGGTAAATGCTTTACTATAGAGTGACAATATACTATAGAGTGAAAATATACACTTGAGGGGTGCTAATGTGTTTCTCAAAGAGTCTCATTGCTGGTGCTTTGCATAGCTTGTTTTATGAATATGTTTTAATGGAAGAAAGGCCTTATTTGTGAGCTAAGATGTGTACAGGGACATTGGATACTCAGGGAGTACATTGAAGTTTTTCTGAGAATAACATTTGCTCAGTCCTGACTGTTCTGGAACTCTATGTAGATCAAACTGGCCCGGAACCCAGAGATGCACCCGCCTTTTCCTTCCAAGTGCTGGGATTAAAGGCATGCTACTCTGTTCTCATCTGAGGCTTTTGGATTTCAGATGCAAAAATGGGAATGACCCGTTTCCAGGCTAATAGAATGGAGACGGCATTGCAGTGAAGTAATAACACCATGGTTGTCTTGGTAAGCCCTGTTGCCTTCTGCTAGTTTGGGATGGTCTTGTCTCTTCCTTGTTTGAGTGGTCACATGATGCTTGATGTGCTGCAGCCCCATGGTTGCATCAGGCTCTAGCAACTATTCAGTTTGCTTTTTTTTTTTTTTTAAGACTTACGATTTAGCCTGTTGCTGTAAATATTACCTGGGGT